TCTAATCTTACTATTTTTTTTTTTCATTAACTTTGGCTCTTCCTCCTGACCACAAGACCCCAACCTGAATAATTTCCACTCCATTTGGAACTGAAGGTTAGGCATCCCCTCTTTTTTGGGGGGGAGGTCTTCAGAGAGCCTCAGTGCAATATTGGGGTAGTCACGCTAGTGATTTGTTGCAGTTCAGTCGTGAGATTGCGTTCCACCCCCCAGCTACTCACCCCTAACTGTACGCAGCGTGCTCCTGGAGAGGCATTTAGCCCTTGGGAAATGCTTGCTGATGTGAGCCTCGCCCGGAGCCTGTACGGACTCAATGCCAACATGAGGGGGCGCTGTGGGCACATGGATGCGAGGCAGAGCCGCTTCTTCCTGGTCCTCGCCAGCCTGCTGCGTGGGCTAGGCTGTCAGCCTGAAGAGACCGGTGTTCTCAGCGAGGGTCCTCTGGAGTCAGGGACACTTTGTGTCGGCGTGGTGTCGGCGCTGCAGGTCCGGGAACTGACTGGACCTGGGCCCTGGTGTCTCCACGCAGCTTCAGAGATTGACTATTGCCCTCTTTTTTTTTTTTTTAAGATTTATTTATTTGTACATACAGAACTGGGGTACAGGCCAGAGGTCCAGGAGCGGCAAGAGGCTTCACCAGAGACAGAGTGGGGAGCAGAACAGGCAGATCGACGAAGTACACTGCTGAGGGGAGCAGTGGGCGGGTCAGGAGAGGTCTGCCACGCCATGTGGTCACCTCCGGGGCAGGCGGGAATCGAACTCATGCGGAAGCGGCTTTAGATTCTCAGTGCTGTGCTTTAACCCGCGGCGCCACCAGGGAGGGCCCACTATTGCCCTCTTTTATAAAAAAACCTCACCCGGCGTTGGCCCCCCACTGCCACAATCCCCTTTTTTAAAACGAGGTAATATTATTCTGCATCATTGTAGGTGCCAGGGGTACAGCTTCTCACTTCAGCACCTGAACATAGACACCATGCCCACCCCCAAGGTCCTGTCACCATCCACCACCAACCAATCCACTTCTACCTGTTGTCTGTCACCCCAACCCCTTTGGTGTCCACCCATGATGCGTTCTTCTGGAGCCCCCAAACTCAATGTCTCCTGTCCCTCTAAACTAGGAGACTTCAGTTCTCAAATGCAAGATCATGAGCTATCTAGGAGCTGGCTTCTGGGACTACCCGTCCCCTGCAGCCAATAACTGTTAGCTATGGGTTAGCTACCTGAACAAAACGGTAGCAACATGCCTCTCACACACCATGGGGGCTGGCAGTAGAAAATAGATTTTTTTCTGAACACAACAAGTTAGACTCCTGAGGTGACTGCTAGCCTCCTCTAAGGGTGGGGTGTTTTCCTGGAACTTCCTTGCTCTTCTAAGAGGGGGCACCACCAAACTGCGCTTTGAAATTCTTTTGTGTTGTTTCCCAGGGTGGTGGAGCAAGGTCACCCTGCTTGAGAGTCTGGAAGATCAGGGTTGGCCAGGATGTGGGGAGCGTTTCTTTACCAACACAAATCTTAAGCTTCCAAGTGGGAGAAAGGACAAGGGGTCTTGAGGCTCTTGGAGTCCTAACAGTGTGAATTGCTGTGAATGGCAGGGGCTGTGGCTGGGACAAGTTGCTTGATTTTTTTGTGCCCCAATTTCTTTATCTGTGAAATAGGAATCATAGTAGAACTAATTTGTAGGATTAAGCCACACTGAGATGAAATTCATGTAATCTGAAATAGCCATTCAAAAACGTGTGGCTGGTTCTCCCTGGGTTAAAGCATAGTACTATAAAGCCATTGGCAGCCACTACAGTGTGTATTCAATCCCCGGCCAGGGAGGTGACCCACAGGGTGTGGCAGACCTCTCCTGTCTCACCCACTGCTCCCCTTGACTGAATCAAGAAGATATGGTATATTAAAGGAATACTACTCAGCCATCAAAAAGATACACTCATGCCATTTACAGCAACATGTATGGAACTAGAAGGGATTATGCTCAGTGAAATGTCAGAAAAATATCAGATGGTTTAAATATGGGGAACCAAATAAGGCATTAGGGGAAAATAATAACAATAAAAAAAGATGATGTTTCATATATATATATATATATATATATATATATATATATATATATAACATGTTTTAAATGTTTAAGGAGGGACCTACCTGGTGGCACAAGGTACAGCATGAGTTCTATCCCCTGACAAGGAGTGACCCACATGGCGCAGCAGACCTCTCCTGTCCCCAATGCTGCTCCCTTCAGCAGTGTGCTTCATCTATCAGCCAGTTGTGCTCCCCACTCTGTCTCTGGTGAATCCTCTCACCCCTGTACCTCTGGCCTACACCCCAGTTCTTGTACACATTAATAAATAAATAATAAAACAAAAATGTGTGGAATTCCCAAGCTATTGTGTGGTCACCAAGTTCCCACACATTTCCATCATCTCCTGAGGAAACGTGCCTATTAAGCAGCCCCTCCCCCCTGGCCCTCTCCTTCTCCCTTCACCCCTCACCCCTTGTTCCTGTGTCTGAATTTGCCTGTTCCGAATATTCCATATACGTGGACCCGTACGGTATGTCGCAGTTTGTGTCTGTCCTTTTTTTGTGTACGTGTATCTGTCTTTTTTCCCTTCGCTTGTTCACTTCACATCCACGTGGAAGTGTATCAACTCGCCATTCCTTTTTGTGGCTGGCTTAAACCCCGCTCTGTGATCCTGTTTTGTTCGTGCGCTGCCTGCGGGTGGCCATTCGGGTCATTTTTAGCCTCTGATTATCGTGACAAGCGAGCACAAGTGTCCTGTAGTTGTCTGTGTCGTGGTCTCAGATCAGCCCCTGGAGTTTTTGTGTGACTGGGGATACTTGCTTGCCACACTGTGGGGGCCCATGAATGTAGCAGCTGAGGGTTTCACTTCATCTTAGGGGTGTGCCAGGGCCCTACAGGGGTCGCTCCCAGAGTGGAAAGCCAGCTCTTGCTTTCTTCCCGCTGTCGGTGTTATTCTCTCTCTACTCCCCTCCTGTTGCAGCAGCTAGTGTGGAAACCTGAGTGGAAAAAGCAGAGGTGGAAATGAGGACAGAGAGGTGAGCAGCTTCGGACAAGCAGTGGGCAGCAGCGTTGACTGAGGGGGAGAGATGGGACAGCAGTGGGGTCCCCTTGAGGGGCAGGCCTTGGGGCTTGGTCCTCTCTCCGGAGGACCCTCAAGGCGGCCACTTCCGGCTCCCATGGTGCCTGGTGGATGAGGGTGCTGCTTCTGCTGGCGACCAGCTGGGAAGTTCCTGAGATAAGAAAGAGTAGGGGAGGATAGCGGGCTAAGTGAGAGAAACGATGGGTTTGTAAGTGGTTGCATTGCAGCTGAGGTGGTGGGGTGCTGTGAGCCGAGATTGGAAGCTGGGGACATCGGTGGGGATTGTCAGCTTGAGATCAGGTGACAGAACAGTAACAGGAATTGTGGGTTTGCCGAGAGCCAGTGCCAGGACGCCAGCTGGTTGGTTGTGGGTGTCCCTGTCCTTGCACCAGTTCCCTGAGCCTCCTGACGGGTGGAGAGCGAGGTCTGTGAGAACCTGGTGCGGACCGGACCGTGTGGACTCCTGAGCTGCTAGGCTTCCGGGGCTAGAGGAGGGAAGGAAGGCTTCACATAGCTTTAGGCAGAGAAATTCTTCCTAAGCTGAAATAAAGTCCCAAGAGAACTAGGAAGAATTAGTTCCATTTGCTACCACATAGTGGGAAGCAGAAGGGCGAGAGGAAGTGAAGCTATAACTGACCCTCGGGAGGATCCAGAGGACATAGTTAAGTATGTTCATCCTTAAATTATCTCCTGTGGTCTCCGTTTTCTGTATGAGAATCTCTTTCTCCGAGGTTCCTCATTTTCTCTAAGGTTAGAAAATGAGGAACCTCAGGGCTGCCATCTTTGACGTAAAAACTCCGCTTCTTACCGGCAGCACCATGGAAATGCCAGAAATGCCAGCCCTGAACCAGCTGCGGAGCCCTTGAGTCAAGACCCATCCATCCCTAACCACCATTTCCTCTTCTATCTTGAATACTGTTCTTTGCATATCCATGAAGTTCTCTTGACCCCTTAATTCACAATTCACACTAAATAAGTTGCTTCTAGATCGCTTCCATGGGGACCAGTGCCGTCTTGGAGCAGGGGTATACCTGAAAGATCATCTAATCCAATCTTTCCAGTTAACAGAGGAAGAAGAAGCAGAGACCTTGAAAGTCAGTAGGATCTAGGCAGACTTGAACGTGGGTCTCCAGACCTCCAGTCCAGAGCCCTCTGTCCCATGGATTCTCAGGATATAAACTGTTGCAGGAGTTTGTCAGTTGCACACTGGCCTTTCAGGAGATGGTGCTTCTTTGCACCTTTTCCCCATTGCTGCTTATTTAAGATATAGAACCAAACTGTAAAGAAAATATATGTTTGTATTTATTGAGACTGAGAATATCCATTACTATTTTTTTTCCCTGTCTTGAAAACCTAATTAGGTGTTAACAACAGGACCTGTTAACTAAGGATAACATACTGGTTACTGGCGAGAATCATTAAAGCTCAAGGATTGAGAAGCACAGACAAGAGAGAAGCAACAAAAATTAATCCTTTCATTAAAAAGGGGCATATTTAATGTGTAGTGAAAGGGGTTATGGGAAAGCCCAAGGTAAAGAATACAGCATTAAAAGGCTCAAAAAGAAGTCCTTAGGGAAATGGGACTTCATTTGGAAGAGGGCTTGGGACTAACCAGAGCATATAGGGGAAGGGCTGAGTCTTCAAAGCTGTCTTCCAGGTTGGTGAGGCCAGACATCTGCTCCTACAGGAGCAGATAAGCCAGGAATAAATATGTCAGGCACAAGAGTTGTATAGCTAAAAATTGGAAATTCTGGGAGGTTTGAGACCCTTCTTGGGAATTGAAGGTAGAGTGTGCTGTAAATTTCCTTCTCCACAAGGCTGCCGTAGCCCTGGCCAGGCATAGGAAGGCCAGGAGGAAGGCAGAACTCTGCTAATATGCTGTGGATTTGCCTTCAGATGGCAGGGACAGCGCGCCATGACCGAGAGATGGCGATCCAGGCCAAGAAAAAGCTCTCCACAGCCACTGACCCCATTGAAAGACTCCGACTGCAGTGCCTGGCCAGGGGCTCTGCGGGCATCAAAGGACTTGGCAGGTAGGACCTGGACCTGGGATTCAGGCAGGACGTGCAGGGGGCACTGTGTGACCTCCAGCAAGCCATTTCCTTGTAGTTCCGTATTTGCAACATGCAGAGCCTGAAAGAATTGAATTTCTGGTCCCGTGTGACAGTTTTTGTTCTCAGATTCAGCAAGGCCTACATCTCTAGAAGAATAGTGATTTAGACATGACTGCAGGGTTTGGAGTTCTCTCTCAGGCAGCCATGTGTTCCTCAGGGCACTGGAAGTGCCGGTGACGCAGTACACAGTTCCCTGTCTCTGGGATTCCTCATCTTCTAAGTCCTGTCCTGATAACGTAAGAGTCTTCAAGACCAAAAAAATCCAGAAGGTGAAGAGTTGATCGTGTCTTGCCCACCCTTGACTTTGTCAGTAAGTCTTCTGAGCTCCAAATGTTTCCCCACATTTTATGTTTTTTTTTTTTTTTTTTTCATGAACAACACTAGCTAACCAGCTAACTAAGCAGCTCCCCAGGGAGTATCTCTGGAGGTCTTGTCCTAAACAAAATGAAACAAAACAAAATTCTTCATCTCTTCTTAGTGGTAATTAGGTCATGAAGACGGGCGCTCAAGAACAGAATGAAAGAGGCCTCTGAGGGTGCTTACAGACCATTTATTTCCAAAGTTATTTAGGTCATTTCTTTCCCAGTGTCCACCTCCTTTCTGTTCTGTGAAATTATTTAAAAGTTTGTAGTAAAATTAGATTTACTTGCCATTGTCTGCATGCTTTCCTGGGGTCCCCTGACCTCCTAACAATTTAGAAATTGTTTAAAAATTTAAATAATTTTTTACAATTTGTATACTCTGAGGTTCAACCTTTGAGCGGTAAACGTCTCTGGGCTTTAGCAAATGCAGGTCGTGTCTCTACCATGACAGCATCATAAGACACAGTTTTACTGTCCTCAAAATGCCATGCACATGCTCCACTGTGCCTCTCACTCGTTCCCCTTAACTTTATTTTTTTTAAAAAGATTTATTTATTTATGCATAAAGAACTGGGGTACAAATCAGAGGTGCAGGGGCAGGGAGAGGATTCACCAGAGACAGAGCGGGGAGCAGAACAGGTGGATGGACAAGGTAAACTGCTGAGGGGAACAGCAGGTGGGTCAGGAGAGGTCTGCTGTGCCATGTGGGTCACCTCCGGGGCCGGGGGTCAAACTCACACTGAGGTGGCTGCAGCCAGCTTGCAGTGCAGTGTCCTGACTCATTGCAACACCAGGGAGGCCCCCCCCTTAACTGTCTCTGTAGTTTTGCTTTTTTACAGAATGCCATATAATTAGAGTCCTATGGTACACCTTGAAAGGTTAATTTTCTTTTATGAGGGACTGGGAGAGGCCCTCCAATTTTGGAAGGAGGATTCAGGAAGAATATATTTATACTTTGAAAACACTTGAAAGTGGTTTTCTTTTTAATCTTTACGCGTACAGCTTGTTCTTTGTGGGGTTTCTCTTCTTGATTGTGCATATTTCCCTCAGAGTGTTTCGAATTATGGATGACAACAACAACCGAACCCTTGACTTCAAGGAATTTGTGAAAGGGTTAAATGATTATGCTGTGGTCATGGAAAAGGAAGAGGCTGAAGAGCTTTTTCAGAGGTTTGATAAAGATGGGAGTGGAACCATAGACTTCAATGAGTTTCTTCTCACTTTAAGAGTAAGTGGCCCCCATGAACCAGGTTGGCTTTCGCGTAGTTGGGTTGGCTATTTTGAGGTTTGTTTGTTTTGTTTTTGTTTTCAGAGCATGTTAGTACACTGGGTGGGGGATGGACAGGAGATTGAGAACATGTTTCAGAATTTCATGAAGCAATCACACTCTGGATTATCTAAGGGCACACCAACTATTTTGCAACACTGCAAGGACTATCTCATCACTTTTGACACACACAAAAAGCTCATTTGCGGTGTATGTGTTTTTTCATTTACCTAGCCTCCAATGTCCAGAGCCAGAAAAGAGGTAATTATGCAAGCTTTTAGAAAGCTAGACAAGACTGGAGATGGTGTTATAACAATAGAAGACCTTCGGGAGGTGTATAATGCCAAACACCATCCAAAGTACCAAAATGGAGAATGGTCAGAGGAACAAGTATTCAGAAAATTTCTGGATAACTTTGATTCACCCTATGACAAAGATGGATTGGTAAGTAGGAGAGTTTAATCTAAGTGAATTTTTTTTCTAATTTGTAAGTACAAATGGAAAGTAAGCCCAAAGCCTTAAAAAATACTTACATATTTTTATGAACATAGTAATTATGAGAGAAGTAAAATATTTCTTTAATGACTTCCTAGAAAGTTGAGAACTAAAGCCATAGAATCTGTGTATGCCTGTCCACTTTGAGTCAGTAGATGATTCACCAACACAAATTTCACTTAAGTTAAATGCTCACCACCTGGAGAATGATGTCTCGATGAAATGTTGCATCCCATGGTAACCAAATTTTTACACCCAGCTATTCTCTTTCCAGTTAGATGATCATTAAATATATTTAATTTTAAAATGAGACCATCATTCAATAATTTGAGCATAATTCACAAGCCATTTCAGGATGTTGCAATGTCTTTTGTTCTCCTCCTCAGAAGTATCACTTATTAGCATGTTGCCATGTGGAACAGACATTTAAGTGAAGTTTTGGTAAAAGGAATGACTGATAACAGAATTTGCTCTGATTTAATATTCAGCAGACTTTGAAATTCACTTGCATTTCTAAACCACATCGACCTTAAGAACAAAGAGAATCATCCCATCTCCATTAACTGGGTCTTCAAGTTGTAAATACGGTTTGGTAGGTGAGAAGGTAACCCCCTCCCCCCTCAGCTGTGTCTAGGCTGTGATGCAATGTCTCTTTCTTTATATTTATCATAAATGAACCTTCAACTTCAAACCAGATTTGCCATCAGGTGACTGCAGGCTGTGATGATGGAGAAGGGCATTTCCTCGTTGGTTGCTAGTCAACAGCAGCAGAACCTGGGCCAGGATTATTCCTAGGAAAGATTAGGAGGTCAGTGGGCACAGGGAGATGGTGGTGATAGCAAGAACATACTAGCCCCCCCCCC